TTCAATCGCCTCGATGACGCGATCGATGACGTGGGGACTCGTCTCGAAGATGTTGGGGAAAAGAAGGTTGAGCAGATGGACCATAGCGTCCTCACATCCAAGACCGATGACACCGAGTGCGACGTGCTTAACCGCGCTGGCAGCGGTCTGTCGGTGGACTTGGTCACGGTCGACAAGTGCATCCTCTAGCAGCGGTGTGACAGCGTAGACATAGTCCTTGCCCATCTCGCCAATGTACTCGAATAAGAAGGACAAGGCCTTGAGCACACCGTTTTGCACGTTGAGATCGGGCACCCGGTACTCGTTCATCAGCGCCGGGAGCACAGTGAATGGAGCACAGGTTTCCGCCACGATACCAATGGCGACGGCTGTGCAAACACGCGACTGACGCTCTTGTACTCGCAAGTTGCCGAGAAGAGCGGCTAGGACATCCTGAGGACCAATAGCTTTGGCAATGAAACCGAATGTGTTGTTGGCCGCACGACGAATTCCCTTCTTGTGAGCCTTGAGCATATCCATCAGCTCAAAGCAGATACGCATCCATTCACGGGCGTTTACGGACTCGGGACCACGATCGGCAATACGACCGACGAGATCGATGGTGTTCTCCTGCACCTTTTCGTGACGGTTGCGCAGAATGGGTGTAAGACGGGGAAGAAGATCGCGGATTGGTGGCTGCATCTGGGTGATACCGACCACGGTGACGATGGCACGCAAAGCACCCAAGATCGAGCCCAAAACCTCGGGATATTCTTCACCCAGGTATTCGTAGAGCACGATACCAAGCTTGCCCATGAGCGCTTCCTCGTCACACTGCTTCATCACCAGCGCAACGCGGGAGATAAGATCGGCTGCCTGTTGCCGAACAGTGGGGGATTTGTTGTTCAGACGCCAGAGAATAGTACTGACAATTTGAGGAATATATGCCTTGCATCGTGTGCCAAGTGCGTTCACCACTGTGCCGAACCCATTAAGAATGACAAGGTCTTCGATGCTTTGTTCCTGGAAGGCGAAGAGGACACCATCAATGAGGCGTTCTTCCAGCCTCTCGGAAATATCAGCGGCTCCAAGTGATGCGATCAACTTTTCGACCGTTTCCACAGTCATCTTGCGATATGGCTCGCTTTCGTCCTTCAGATTATTGACGATGCGTTCGAGAATCTCGCCAACACCCACTTTCTGGCCCAGGTCCACTGTGGTATCGACTACCTGGCGGTAATTTCGTCGATCGAGCGCCATTCGTCGCATCCAGAAGCCCTTGAAGAAATCTGCCAAGACGTGCTCCTTCAAGTAGCTGGCAGTCACACCTGGAGTGCTTGCACATTGAGAAACCACCTTCAACACGACCTTCTTCATTTCCTCATCTGGTGAGGCGAATTCTCGAATCAGGATCTCCATGATTTGAGTGGTGTAGTAGTTGGCATATTCTTCGTCCATCAAAGGAATAATATAGCCGACAGCCTTGAGGAACGCAGAGAGACCCTTTCCACGCTGCTTGCGGGCACCGGTCCAGAGAGGGCTCAAGATGTCATCAAAACTTTCGATACCATATGGGTTCGCAGCCTCCGCCAAAGAGGCCAGGGATAGAGCAGTGACTGTACGAACCTTAGCTTGTTCATCACTGAGGTTGCCTGAAACGCAGCCAACTAACTCCTTGAGATGAGGAAGAATGGCGCAACCCATGAGAATAGGGATATGCTGAACAATCTTAACACCAGTGTGTCGGGCCTGCCATGACTTCTTACTGCGGCAGACAGCGCGGAGGAAAGGGAGGAGGGCGGGAATACCGAGGGCAGAGGCCACAACGGCAAAAGCGCGTGCTGTCGTGTTTCGCACGTATTCATCAGCGTGGTCAATATCAGGACGCATCGTACTGATCATTGTAGCAAGACCGGCGGCCTTGGCAAGGTTAGAGATGATCTCTCGGCCTTCAACACGAGCATAGTAGTCTTGATCAATGAGCAGTGGTTCGATGACGACCAAAATCTTATGAACGTAGGGACGGACCAGATCATCCAGTTTGTAGAGGATTCGGTCGATGACCTTCACTAGCAAATGGCGCTCCTGATCTTCCAGAGTCCTTTCCATGAGCAAAGGGAGAATCTGATTGAAAAGAGCCCCGGGACCAAAGTCGCGTGCATTGTCGGTGATTTGACGCAGAGCAGTCTTGCGCATGGGCGGGGTGCCGTTCTTAATCTTGAGCAGTAATCTCATAATCTTTCGCTCCTTCATTTCTTCCACGGTCATGCTGGTTTCATCCCCACCCTCCATTAGTTTACCGAAATAGGCCATGTCCTCCGCCTTGAAGAATTGAAGTTCACCCACACCGGGAATATCAGTTGGAAGGTCCTTTCCTACAGACTGAACACTTTCTGGCTCTTGCATCATAAACCCTCCGACACCACCAGCGCTAGACATAGGTGCTGGCGTGGCCATAAGCCTGCGGGCCTGGGTTCGGATGGGTTCATAGCCTGGAGGAGGGTCTAGGACCTTATAGCCATCGGCTTCACCGGGAAGCATGATATCGAGCTCTTCATCGGACCAGCCAACAACTTGACCGGGCAGATCCCCGAAGCCAACTGCAGGTGTGGCGGCACCTGCTTGGGATGGATGCATAGGAGTAGCGAGTCCTTGGTTGCCGACGGGAGTGGCAGCTGTGAGAGATGGGGCTAGATCCCATCTCGATCGGCCGGTTTTGGGGGCTTCTGCTGGAGCAGGTGCCTCATCGAAACGCGATCTCTTGCCTAGCTCGGCAGCAGGCTCTCCCCATCGGTTCTTTCGCTTTTTGTCGGTAGTCGCCGTAACGGTCGAGCCTACCTCGGTGTTTTCTTTGTCGTGTTCCACCATCTTCAGCGTAGCCTGGTGCTCTGTAACGTCTTCACCTTTCTCGCGTTTCTCTGCGATCAGCTTTTGAACGCGCTCTTCTTCCCTGTCCAACTCGCGGATGGCCATGACTTCCCGGTAGGTTTGACTTTCTCCTTCAACGTTCGCATTGGCAGCGAAGGGATCGGCGCGCGTCGGGGTCAAGGCGCCACGGTTGAATCGGCGTTTTTGATAGTCTGTCTCGCGGTCTGCAATTCGCGCTGCCTTCTCACGACCTAGCAAAATGTCCTCCTCCTCAACCCCAGTTCCTCGCGCCATCTCATCAATCTGGCTTCTGGTGGCAGTGTATTGACCAACCAGTCTGTGTCCGCCATCCGCTTCTTCCATTTCTTCGTCGCCATCAACAGCGATCGAAGTGTCGTAGCCCGAGAACTTCGCTGCTCCATCCCGTTCGTATAAAAAGGTGTCGAAGGATTCTGTCAGGGAGGCTTTGGTCGAGGTATCAGTGCGCTGAGAAGATTGGTCAAACGTCTTAGAGCCCTTTTTACTAGCAGCAGCAGCATTGCGCTCAGCTTGGAGCCGTCGAACGGCCTCGATATCGGCTACAGTGGGGATCAGCATATGGCCAGATGGGAGAGCTTGCGAAAACCGACCGTCAGACATGGTGACAAAATGTAAAAGTCGCGAGGATATGAGTGAGCCTGTATTACCGCAGAAGGGAACACCGCAGCTACATCCGGATTGAAAACCGCTGGAACGGTCACAACAATGGTGATTGAGGATGCTGTGTTGCTAGCCGCCTCGTGATGAAAAGGTCGTGATTAGGCTGCACGTGATTAGAGAGACCTTAGCTTCTTGGGTGGCCTGGTGTCTGGTCACGTGAAATGTGACATAAGCGTGATAATGCCTGGCGAGCCTAGGCCAAGTTTGGGGCGGTCAACAACATTGGCGGGCTTAAGGAACACGGCAAATATTGACGGTAGGGGGTGGGGATAATGAATATAACAACAGCTTAAAGAGACCAAGGTGAGAGTCGATTGATCTTGCTCAAAGAAAACCTCGGCTCCCAAAGCATCTTACATCATTATAGGACCAATTCCTTGTGAGCTAACACTGTTAATCTTTGGTTAGAATCCATTGATTTTTCGCTATTTCTACCTAGAACTGCCATTCTTGGCTCTTTGATCTGTATTGCCTTGTGTATGGTCAACTCTCATACTGTGTTTTAAGGCTCGTTAATGTAGGCATTGCTGCCTGATTGGTACTTAAAATTGTGGCGCTGCGACGGCGCTTATAGTCTATCAATGTCCCACAACCGGTGTATCAGGGATATTGCAGGCCTGCATGAACTTCAATGTTCCTGTAGTTGAGTTTCATTATCTAATTAAGGCCAAAGGCTCTTAATATGACTGGGAATAATAATAAGAAACTCTCTGATAGCCAATAAGATATCAAGGCTAAAGTAGGAGCATCAGATAAGCGCCTGTAGAATTTCAAAATTTCGAAGGATGTACGTGATCAATAGGTCTTCTAAGGCTGACGATACTGAGCTACTGTTCTTAACACAGTCTACAGAGTTTTACTCCTACCCCAATCTATCCATGGATACTAAGGTTGTCCAACATTGAAAGCGACAGGTTGCTGCCGGCCAGTAAATTACAACGGTGCTAGTGTCACCTATAAAGCCCTGTCGTTACATCCGTCTCATTCTAACAAACATAGATAAATCAAACATTCATTCCCCATCTCTTTAGCAACCTCTCAAGATAGGTGGTGACAACAAAGAAGCTAATTTTAGCTTACTGTTAGCCTAGTAAGCAGACTTGGATACTTCCTAGGTGTGTAGATAACTGAGATGTGGATGGCAGCATCAATGTAGATGGAATTTATAATTGGTCCCCCCCCCAAAGGTTCATTGAACTAAAATCCACTACGCTAAGTTGAATTTGGTTTACCCCGGAAGCTTTGCTATCTGTGCAGCATATCTCAAACTCCGAGCACATCCTTGGTTATATATAGCCCTGCAAGCGGTTCTAGTTAATAAGAAATGTCTCCCTGCTGGTTGGGATTGTCCTTGCTCTTATACCCCAGTTCAGTTCCACGGCCCTAGAACTCAATCTGCTGGAGCAAATTTCAGAAACAGTCTGCATTCGTATATCCAAAATCCCCCGGCCACCATGAGACTCTTCTTAGCGCTATTATTGCTACTCGGAGCAGCAAATGTGGAAGGACACTTGGGTCTTCCTCATCCCCTGGCTCTCGCTTCCACATTCTCCCAGATCTACCATCAACTTGACAGCATCAACCTTGGGAATTGCTCTCTTGCAAATGTATCCCTCGCATTGAACGCGACAAATACACCGCTTCCAGTGCCATCCACGGGGTTGACTCTCAAATACGTTGCATTAGGCCGAGGAACACAGAACTACACCTGCCCATCGAATGGTTCCACGAATTTAGTCACTACCATCACGCCCAAAGCCACGGGGGCTGCCGCTACACTCTTTGACGCCTCTTGCATTGCATCATCCTCTCTACCTCTACTCCACGAAGTCCCCGCAATCATCAGCGCCACTCCACTTGGATCTCTCACATTTATGGCAGCCCTCGTGGCCCAAGGCACGAGAAGCACCAACCTCATTATTGGTGAACATTACTTCAACGCTGGCGGAGATCCGGTTTTCGACATGTCACTGAGTGGCTCCCGTTCATGGGTTGCTACGAGCAAATTAGCATCTGCTCCAGCGCCAAAGTCAACATCGGGATCCTCCGGCGATGTTCCGTGGCTTAAGCTAGGATACAAGAAAGGGAACGGCATTCGGGTGTGTTTAGGCTTATCCAAACCCCCCGGATCTGGAGCATGCATATCTAACCGAATCGTTCTGTATAGGAAGTTTACCGAGTTGTGACATCTCAAGGCAACCCGCCATTGACATGCTCTGGTCAAAAAGCAACGATCCAAGTTGATTATGCCGCCGAGTATTGGTTTTTTGGGTGAAAGAAGCGTGCTACATTTTTGTTTGAAGCTATACAGTGGACTTTTGGGGAGTTTTTTAATAAGCGATATATACGACTGCGAGAATATGCCTTTGCTGATATATGCATTTAAAACTACGGGGAACACACAATTCACGAATTCTTGGGAGACTTATAGAAGAAACTCGGATGGCGCCGAAGTACCGAGTAGGCATTACGCATCGTGAAATTTCTAGTAAATCGGACGTCTGAAGTTGAAAATACACATTTTGAATAGGAAGATCCTCATGAAATCTCCAAAGGTGACACCAGTCTTGTCTCTTCTATTGGTTGTTTGTCAGTTTACTTGGAATGATAAGTCCTAGCCTCCCCACCTCCTCAACTAGCCGCCCTTCATCCTTCCACATGAAACAGAGCCTTATCCTCCGATGTAAATCTCCCCCTTAAGTCCCTCCTGGAACTATAGATATCTGACTGCCACCTAGCATCAACATTTGCATCTCTAGAGCCTCTCGGTAAATCTAAGCGGTCAATGTGGCTAGGAGTTAACTCCCATTATAGTAATCCCCCACGACTAGATTCGTCTTCAGATCAGGAGTGAATAACACACCAATACGACGGAGATGTATTTTGACTACCGATACCAGAATACAATGCCTTAATCGTCCTTCTAGAACTAGGATAGGGGTAAAATAGCCAGGCAAGCATTTATCTTCAAGCAGGTCATTGATGAAAGTTGACGTTAGTTACGAAGGCGTACCTCGACATCCCGGACTAATAAGTGTGCCGAAAGATATATTGCTCACAACGGTGCTAAATCGATCTTTAGGCCATTATCAATCACCCGATCTCGTTCCACGAGATGATGCCGAAGACGCGGAACCGGGTTAGCAGGATATGTCAACCCCCAACTGAGGAGATCATACACATCATCAGCGACGACAAGAGTGTTGTACTTTCGACCCACTCTGATGAGTGTCTCGCGCCGCGAGTGAGACATCGTCGTCCCCATCCGTGCTATTTCCGATCTTGAAGATATTATGACAGATCTTGCTGAGAAAATTGGGGCACTTTTTGAACTTAGGGCTTCGATGGTTTAGGCCATTGTTGCTTGGGACCAACCACGTTCAACATCTGCTATTGTTCTTCCCGGATAAACTAAACAATGGCTCTTACTGCGTGGCTTGCATAATTTGATTTCTGTTTACTCTACTTACCAAATGGTTTTGGAAAGAGAAACGAGTCTCTTGATGATCGGATTGCTAGACAATGAAGACCCTTGAACGCCCGCGAAAAAAAAAACCACCTATTCCACGATTGAGACCAACAATGGGCCAACGCCGGGATGAATGCAAACTCGAAGAACGAAAGAGTGCAATTCCACCAGGCACCACGTAAATCCCGCCGCTCACATCTCAAGGGGCGGGATTGCATCCATGCAGAAAATGTCGATGTATGCGTCCTCACTCCAATGCAAGCTTTCCCCTGTTAGAACCACACTGCAGTCAAGCTCCAACCGAAGACCTAAAAGTTTATACATTGTCATCCTCGTAGACGAAGTTGATGTCGCGGATGCGACGGCGGTTGGTGGCAATGAACTCCTTATCACCGGCGGGTCGCTCATCGCGATTGTTGGCGGTAAGCATGCTCTGAAGGCTCATGCAGACACTCTCAACCGTCTGTACAGGGGACCAACCAGCGGAACCCAGGAGGTCAAGACAGATTATGCCATTGCTGTAGATGTGGGGATGCATTGGGATTGTGCGGGGTGTACCAGTGGAGGCAGGACATTGGATGAATTGGACCTCGGGGGGTTCTAAAATGATTTTGTGTCAAAAACCCCAGATTGGTCTGATAGTCGACAGGACGTGATTAAGACAAGAGAGGTGGAATGGAGCTGCCGAGAGAGATAATAGAGATAGAGGCTGCCAGCTGAGGGGATAGGGCTTACCGATAGGGTACTTGTTATTGAAGGTGAACTTCAGGCGATAAGTCTGGTCCAGGTAAAGTGGATTCTGGTCAAGGATCTTGATGTCCATCTGCCATTCCTCCAGAGTATCACATTTGGCAATGGTAATTCCCGGTGGGAGATTCTCCTGCATCTGTATTGTCACAAAGTTAGAGAAGCATTTACACTTGATGCAATATGCAATATGCATGTGTGCCATTGTATGCTCTTGAGCAAGATATGTCATCGACGGGACAAAGGCGCCAAGGCCTCGAAGAAACCGGAGGGATTGGTACCTTAATGAGCTCCTGGGGTTCAGAAATATAGAGTCAGGAAGATGAGGTTTTCAGTACTGTTGAGTTTCAGAGTCTATTTACCTTGCTCAGACGCTTTGTAGCGAACATTGTTACGATGAGTGCTGTGAGAAAAAGATTTAGATGTTTGAGCTCCGGTGGAGAAGGAGGGGCGTCTCGCCTAGGTGGGGGGGGGGTAGAGCGGATGTATGACGTTGAGAACGGAATGCGTGGAACTTCTCAACGGGCAAGATGAGATTGAATTGAAGCAGCAAGGGATATCAAGCCAACAGAGAAGAGATACTGTCCAACAGATCATTGATGAAGGTCTTGAAGGTAAGTGGGGAGATTTTCTACTAATACACGTGATATCGACACCTGACCATATCTCAGGTCATGTCATGACAAGTCTGTAGCAGTACGACTTGGTACTATTTTGTCATGGTCGTTTCAAATGGTACAAATGCACTGAGGTGGATGATAGTTACTAGCCTAGAATGTCTTAATGAGTTCAGACTACATAGTTGTAACATAGTCTCGAGTTTAGGCAGTATCGCTTTATATCAACGAACAAGAAGATCCTGCTCATGATCCCTTGTCATCAATGGTCAATTTAGAGATTTTCTGGCGTTGTCAAGGGATAAAATTAGTTGTAAATTTTTGGCAGTCTTCTTTTGCTCCAGTGCCTCTCCAAAGTAGTGGTGCTGGCTTCCAAGCTTGGAAAATATCCAGGCAAGATTCAGGATTTAGATCCCATCCATGGCCACATCAGATTCCCTCCCTTTCTTTCCAAGACCAGTAGATTTCAGAAATCTCGATAGCTGACCATGAGTTAACCTCAAATTAGATCTCTATCAAAAGAGGTAAGACAAGTGCAAGATTTACTTCAAAATTGTATGTTCACTCTGGTTGACTAGGATGAATGGGAATCACAGAATTATATCCAAGAAACCGCCAGGCAGATGAATGAGAATTACAGGACAGAATAGACATAGGAACAGCGTATGAACAAGAGATAAGATATTAAAGAGACACAAAGAGAGATGGCGAACAGTTTACGCAGAAGAGGCCTTCTCGCGAGCTTCACGTTCAACCTTCTTGCGCTCCTCAGTCTCCTTCTGCTCACGGACCTTAGCCAGGACAACTTCACGGAAAATAGCACCGCGAGTAGCGCTAGCCAGACTCTTCTTCTTTGCGTGGCCAGGGGCTGGACTGGCATCACCGCTTGGCATTGATGGCTCCGCCGCACTGGGATTTTCGGCTGAGTCGCCCATGTCCACCGCGCTGGGAATATCCTCCCCATCCTCTTCCTCGTGCATCTTGAGTGACTCGATACGGTTGGCAAGCTTGACGATCTCGATTCCACGGCGGAGACGGGCACGCGCAATGTAGGTGCGGAGTTCAGGCAGCAAGTCACGGTCGCTCGCTGTCTCTCCAGTCAGCCAGACATGCTTGAGGGCTTCCTCAGAGGAAACTCGCTTGGTGGGGTCCGTATTGAGGAGAGAGAGAATGAAATCCTTGGCATCCTGGGACACGTCACGCCAGTACCGCTCGTGGAAGATAATGTGGCCTGTTCGGCATTCTTCGATGAGATCGGTCAAGGTCTCGGATCGGAAGGGGGAGTAGCCACACAGGAGGGTATAGGTGATGACACCGAGCGACCACATATCGACAGCCTTGCCGTGGCCCTGCTTGAGCATGACCTCGGGGGCAGCATATCCAAAGGAGCCGGCCATGCTGGTCAGTACCTCAGAAGGGCTGTGCAGCATCTTCGCAATACCGAAATCGGCCAAAACCAATTGAGAGTCGACAGCACGGGTGAGGTAGAGAAGGTTCTCGGGTTTCAAGTCTTTGAAAGTGTTAGCTATGTGTAAAGTATAAATTTGATTTAAGGAGACCGACCTCGGTGAACGATGTTGCGCTTGTGCAGATAGTTCACGGCATCAAGCACCTGGCGAATGGTCTGCGACGCATCCTTCTCGGTGAACTTGCCATACTCGCAGATCCGGTCGAACAATTCGCCACCGGTGGCTAGCTGTGTAACGATATAGAATTTGTCCTAGGTCTGTGATTAGATCTCTGCAACGATTGGATCAAATAGAAACGTGCTCACCTTAGATTCGAACCAGTCGACGAACGAGACAATGTGGGGGTGTTGGAGAGATTGCAGCATCTCAAGCTCATCGTGGACCATGCCTTCGTTGCCACGGACATTCTTCTTCAAAATTATCTTGACCGCAACCTTCTGTCCATCAGTAGCATCGGCCTCACGAACAATTCCGTATGTGCCGGCGCCCAGCGTCCGTCCGAATTTATAGAGAGCCCTATAGCCAGAGAAAAACCGGTCAGCAAATGTGGGGCAAGGGAGCTATGATGAGGAAGCTGTACTTCTTTTCGTAGCTCTCCGGCTGTCCGGACAGCTTGTTGAGCATGTTTGCGACTAGAGAAATGTGAGTTAGAAAATTGCGGGGCTCGTCAGACGAATCGCACAAAACAAATGAAGCAAAGAACCCCTGAAGGAGCCGACCGAGCGGGGAGGGCTTAGGCATGGCGGAGCAAAACCTGACACAAAATGATAGCTAGAAGTCCAAGTCCTCCTAGCCCCCATATATTCCACAGGGGGCTGATAGGGAGCGTGTGGATCAACATGACAATTCCAACGCAGTGAAGAGCCAGATTATGCACAAGGCTGAAGTGAAGCCGCACAACATTCGGACAACTCCAAATGGCGAATCATATCAAGATTGAACAGAGGACAAAAGTCCCGCAACCATGGAATATCGACTCACAACTCATGATGTGGGGATAGGGCCGCAGACGCCCAAGGTGGCAGACGCGGTGTGAGATGGGGCTCGAATGGGCACGAAACCCGTTAGGTAGCAACGACTAGAAAGAAGAAGAGGAGGGTTCAAGGATTGAGGTTTCTAAAGTCGATAACAGGGTCCAACCTAGCAAAAGAATAGGGTCAGCGATATCGAAATTATGGAAACCCAATTCGAGGGGTGACCATGCGCGGGGGTGGCTGCCCGAAGATTCCAAACAGAATTAGTGGAGTAGACATACCACACACACGCAGACCAACAAGTATCAGAGATCGCAGTTCAATCGCAGGTGAGCCTGAGATGAAATTTTTTTTAAAAAAAAGATCGAAAAAAAGGGCCGAAGAAGGGAAAGATTAGGAGTTCTAGACGCGATTAGCCTTGGCCTTGGGGCTGTAGGGTTTAGCGCCAGCACAGCCACAACGGGAATGTGACTGCCTCCAGGGCTGACTCTGTATGAATTAACCTGCAACAGAGCAATATAACAGGTTCAATGAAATAAGAAAAAAAAAGGGGGCGGGAGGGCGGGGGGAAACACCAAAATTATGATCATGTACTAAAGCAAGGTGTAGATTCCAGTATTGAAGCCCAAACTAAACTACATTGCATGCAGAACTACTTGCATGTGACTTTGGGGACATGGCACTACATTCATGTCGTAGATGCACGTGTGTATTCAATGCACAACTACATACAATATGAATCCAAGCTATTTTCCGTTTTCTAGACCTGAAGTGCAAAACTTGGTGTTTTTTGATTTCTTTTCTAGTTGAAGGTTACATCATAATTTAAAGCGTCAGATCTATAGTTGATCTACTTAGAGCCACAGCACCACTTTATCCCGAAACTGATTTAGACCGGCAGTTGAAATAGAGAGAAGAATGACATCTGTGCAGTCTGAAACATGACATGACGCAAGAAATTTAGTCATTCAAGATGCAAGATCTTCCCTGATTGGTTATAAACATCCTGGGGTGTGTGCCACGGCGTCATCACTAAACGTCATAGGCTTAGCCAAACGTATAACTTAACTACAACCACAGATATTATGTTGGCTTCATTCTCCGTTAAACAAGAGATTGACAATGGAATTTTCAAGAACGTGAACCTTAGATTATGTTATCCTTTCTCTTCTTTCTTACCTTCCAGGTAAGTCTACTTGCTGCTTGGGTCGCTGGTTACCTGGACCCATGCCAGAAACAGCTCCAAGAGCTCTTGCTGGACTATATGGGTGAGACAAAGGTGTCTTATGGACTGAAAAGTATGTTATGCAAAGTATAGAAAGAGGAAATGAATAACAATTGTACTAACCTTAATTTACTTGTAGAAAGTCTGACTGGAAAGAAACTCACCGAGGACCAGAATATGAGCAAGATTCAAGATCAACTCGGGAATCAAATGGGTGGCACTTTTGGGAAAGGAGGTCTAGGACAGGGAGTTGGTTCTGTATTGAGTAAAGGCCTTTGAGGGGCAGTTAGGGTGAAGGACAAGAGCAAGATTAACTTTTGATTGTTGAAATTAAGTTTTAGGGTTAGAATCAAGACACAGGTCCATCCATGGGGTTGTTTTCAGGCAGCCTTCTCCCAAGCACTCCTCAACTCCACCAAACTGCCCCGATCTGTAGCCAAGATGATCAAACACAGACCATGATGATACTCAGGATCCATCTTGTCAACCACCTAGGCATTGCGCAACGCAACACCCATTGAGCGTTTTGGATCGAATGACTCGAATGTCATGCAATCGCATCAATGCTTGCACGACAGTTAGTCGATGAGAAAGCAAAGAGCCAAAGCCAAAGCAAAACAAACAATTTAAAAAAGCAAAGAGAGCGAACTATCAGAAGAAATCATCATGACAACAGGCAGTAAGTTCTCACCGCTGCAGCCATTCGCGAGATCCATAGCCTGTCTCACCAAGCTCAGCTAAAGCAGTTTCGCAAAGCTCATCGTAGTACTCAGTCCCCTTCCAAAGACTATGCTTCGACCGAATACCAATCCTCCAATCTTCCTCCCTAAGCCGCTTAATGCGCTGCGCCTTAGTCTCAACCCGAATAACATTTCCGTACTCATCGATATTAGGCCCCTCAATCACAGGAGGTTCCTGGGGGGCACCGGAATCGGGGTTAGGCTTAACGGGAGAAAAGGTCCAGAAGGAAGCAGAGCGGGCCATTTTCGTATTGCGAGAGCGACGGGCCTGCTGCAGATCCGAAACATGTTTGATCTGCCTGCAAAGTCCAGTCACGTCGGCGGGGATATGTTCACGGAGCCACTTGACGGCGTTGTTAAATTGGTTGATCTGGGTGGCACGCTCAGTACTGACAGGTATGGGGGAGGACTTTCTAGACCGCAACGAGAGCGACTTGGTGCTTTTGTGCCCTGGCGAGCCTGCTCGGCTGGTGAACGGGGAGCCGAGGATGGGCACCTTCTTTCTCATAACGGGGGTTGGTGTCTGTGGAGTCATGATCGTGGACGAAGAGAGGATAGGTCTCAGACGGTTCTGCTGCGGGGCTAGGGTTGAAGGGTTCGTCTCCCCTGTGTTAGCATTTAGACGTCCGGATGGGACTATTCTCAAGGGTAGCCGGGGAGGGCGAGCTCGGACTGGTCGATTCACCTCATTCCTAGAAATTTCTTGCTCTGAACCTCCGCAGATTACCATTGCAGAACTGCTGCACATGAGCACCTCACCGGAGCTCTTCCTGATTGCAAGCGGGGGTGGAATAAGTTGGCTGCGCTTTACGGGATCCTCGAGTTCAGCTGGGAATTTGATCGGAGACAGGCGCACGGGCGGTCGCTTTAGAGAGTGATGTTTTGGTGGCACGCGGGTCACAAAAGGGTCGTCGGCTCCCGCAATGATGGAGTTATCAATCATCCGGGCAATGTTTCGGACGATAGATCCCCCATTGGGAAGCCCATCTCTGGCACTGTTGAAAGCGAGCAATTGGTCTTTCGTAGCGGGACGAGGAGAAACACCGTGTGGAGGGGGAGGGGGGGGAGGAGGGACCTTATGGGTGGGAGGCGTGATATGAAAGGCTGGGGGTGGACCATCAAAGTCAAGACGTGAGACTTCTCGGGTAGCAGAAGGTGGCGTAACACAAAAAGCAGTAGCAATAGACGAGCTGAAGGAAGAAGAGGGAGAAGGGACCGGCGAGGTAGGAGTTTGAGGTAGCCTAGCATTATGAGCCGACAGATTCTGAACTGAGAGAGCTTGAGCATTTGAATCAGGCCCAGAGCCCGGAGGGACATCATGGGTAGGTGGAATTGTGGGGCTCCACACGACAGTCGTCAAGGAAGACCGAGGAGACGAGTCAGGCGAATGAAGAAAAGTATCTGGTGAGCAGGTCTGGTTGAGATTCAGAACCGGGGGCGGGAGAGTAGCTGGCAAAGACTCATAGGCAGTTTGAAAACGCTCCATAGCAGAAGTCAGAAGCGGAACCTTGACAGCTGAAAAGATATGAGCTGCTCGTCCCATGTACTCATACGAAGTGGCTGCATAATAGTGGAGGTAGGTCGCACGCATTGGATGAAGCTATGTATAAATCCGTTAGCGGTCAGATGTTGAGACGATATCTGTGAAACACAAACCGGGCTAGACGCGGTGTCTATGAGCTGATTACAACGCAAGGCACATTGCTTGTACTGCTGGTTGAAACACAGCCATTTCACATCGAGAAGGGCTCTTTTCCATTCGTAAGAATTTCGTGGAGGAGAGAAGACGCCAAAGGGCAAAGACGCCTCTGGTGGCATTCCTGAGGTATTTGATGATGATGAAGAAGCCATTCTGGGAGCAGAGAGAACAAGTGAATGGAGAATGAGGAGATGAGACACAAAATGAGATGGGAGAAAAGAAAGAAGAAAGGAAAGATGGGACTCTCTGCCTCCCCAAATTAAGACCTGGCAAATTGAGGTGTTTTCTCACAGCTTGCTAGACAAGTCCAATGCTCATGCTTTCCCTCTGTTCATGTCTACTAAGCTTGATTAAATCCTAGGGTACTTATGGCTATATGGGTGTAGCTCCAACTATTCTCACGAGCTTCCAGGCAAGTACATCTTTGCCTCTAGCAGCTATGAAACACTACCTACATCACTATCTTCACGGAAATCTGCGTAGTGGATATAATATGCATGAAAACCGAACATGATATCAATTACTGGAATTGTAGATAAGTTGACCCTCATTAATTCTACAAATTAAGGCCTCATTACATGGCTCCTAACTGATGATATTTGCCGGTGTTGATATCCCACAAGCCCATGCTGATCATCTAGACCTGCTCAACAACACGATTACCATTCATCTCATATTTGATCCCAGCCCGCGACAACACCTCACCAGTTGCCGAAAGGGAATCCAGGAAATCTTTCAACAAACGATCAAGCTCTGCTGTCACCACACTATCATCCATACCCTCCATCAGGCTCGCCGCACTTGGGGGGTTGAGAGCTGGAAAGGGGATTGGTCCCTTGCCTTGCGCCTGTGAAATGGGGATTCCAGATGTGTCGTGTCGTACATTTCGCATAGCTTCGAACACGGGAGATCCCGGTTCTGAGACTGGGCCCGAAGTTACCGAGGAAGCAGTGGGGGTTTGGGGAATTGGAACGGCCGTGCGTAAAGCCGCCATACCATCTTCGTACGAGGAAGTCCTGGAGTGCTCCTTCCATACAGGGTGAGATTCCTCGTCTGGGCCCGGGCCGTCGAGGATCCCGGAAGCCTCATATTCATTGTAACCGGCTAATTCCATCATTGCAGGGAGTTCTGTGTCAAAGAAATGACTATGATGAAGCGAATTTGCACCTTCTGGGGTGGTGGGGCGATCGAAGCGGAAGGGATCGTAATCTGAGTCAGAGATATTGGACGCTGCAGTCGAAGGACGTGAGTCACCTGGTTCCTCTATTGATAGTGGCTGCGATTGCGGTGGAGGCTTAACCTCAGGAAGCGGAGCCCGAAGGGTGTCATGTCCGTCATCGTAGGTTTGGCTCTCGGGAACGGATCCCATGACCGGGAATGTCCATTGCATGGTGGCTCGCTTCTCTGCTTGGAAAGACTCCTCCGGCATGGGCTCCTGTGTAGGAGCCTCCTCATGTTCTTCCGGTTTTTCCTCTTCAGCTTGTGTGAATGATGGGAATTTCCAGTCCATAGTAGGAGGTCGGGGACCAGACGGCACGAATGTGTCCTCAAGGTTTTCATCGCTAACCACACTGCCGTTTGGCGACTTCGAGCTAGTCTCAGAGGAGGTTCGGTGCAATCGAAAACTGGACCGGTTCGCGCGGATAGTGTTGGCATCGACCAATTGGAATGGCTGCGCAGATGGAGCCCCTGCTGCATAGTGGGAGGCCTCGAATGACCCGATGTCGATATCGAGAAAGGTTGATGTGACTGAAGAACGGTCTGTTTCCGCACGGAGGGGTAGGTCTGAAGTGGGTTGCGCTGGTTCGATGGGGACAAAGTCATTTTTTGTTTCGTATGTGTAGATGGGCTTCAGTTCATCAAAGAGGCCTTCCATTGCCTCTGCACCTCGGCGCACACGTTCATCGAAATTGACTTTGTCTTCGTAGTTAAGATCGTCCACCGAAAACTTTTCGTACATGTCATTCTCAGGTGCTATGTCGGTAGGACTGAATGACTTTTCCATCTCTGCCAACGAGGCAGCAATTTCATCCAGGTCAATGACAGAGAATCTTCGCTCGAACCCATCTGTTGTACTAAAATTCCAGTCATCTTCTGACTCCTCGATGCCTGGGAGTTCAGCTGCTGCGGCGCCGCCTGGATGGAACAAAGAAATCCTTTGGCCTCCTCGCTGGGACCACTGATAATAGTTCGTCACCAACTCACTCACAGAGGCGGTCGGATATCCCTCATCTGTGTCGGCAATGTAGGGGTGGGCAAGGATGTCTGCCATGGTAGGGCGAGTCTCTGGATTAGAGTCAAGGGCGTAGGCAATAAGATCCTTCAGGCCTTGGCTGTACTTATCGCTGTCCAGCTGGGGAGTCTTTCGATTTAATTGACGACCGATTTGCATTCGTTCCCTCAGGCCTGCGTTTGGCGGGTTCCCGTTCGCGAATTCAAATAGTGTGCAGCCATACGCCCACACATCGATCTCATTCCCGTATTGATGGGCCTCTCCACGAGTTGCAAACATCTCTGGCGGCATCCAGTGCGGTGTTCCAATCCAGGTGGATCGTTTGTCTCGCTGTGATTGGAGAACACCAGCAACACCGAAGTCACAAATTTCCAGACGACCCTCTTCATGAATAAGAATATTTGCAGCTTTCACATCGCGATGAATGATTCCAGCCTCGTGAATAGCGTGAAGTCCCACAGCTAGTTCACGAGCGATTGGAATGATGTATCTCTCATCGAGCTTGTCGTTCGTTGCACGCATCAAGGTACGGACACTGCCACCGGGGCAGTACTCGCAAACCAGCCACAACTGAGAGTGAATGGATATGGCTTCAATAATTTCATTGATGTTTTTGGCACCGGAATCCTTCACTTGCTTCATCACCTTTGTCTCATGGATGAAATCCTTTATTGACTCATCCCTGAAGTCTCGAAGCGACTTGTAGTCTAGCGAGTCAATATCTAGGACTTTGATGGCAACCACCCGGCCCGACGGTTTTTGGCGACCTTTGTAAACACGACCATAAGCACCTTTGCCTATTAACTCTTCAAACTCGTATGGTGGAACCTCAGTTTTCGCACGACGACACATCTCCTGGACGGCTACCCCTTGTTCACGAGCTAGCTTGATTGCTTCTGCCTTGTGCTTGGTGATGGCCGCCATTGCAGAGGACGTGTCCAAGAGTCGGGATATCCGGGAATCCATTGTGAGTGAAGATCAGCTCGAATGAGCTAGGTGTCAAGTAAGATGACTGTAAGAATGAGGTAGGGGTAGAAGTGAGCAAGGAGTAAGGATTGAGATGGGGGTTGGGTGAGACGAGTTTGAAGCGCGGAAATTTGCAGCTCCTCTGACGTAAGGTTAATGATTGAGACTGGATGGAGTGTGTTTGCGGGTTCGACAAAGCAGGGTTTTGAGCTTTTTAACACAACGCCTTAAGGTTCTCTTGCGCTTTGAGGTGCTTCTTTTCCCAGAAGCGAAAGAGAGTGATGCAGGACAAGCCGAGATACGATGCAGAGGCGTCTTCTGGTAGTATCGAGGGGAAGCTGTAGGTGTAGCGCGCCCTTCGAAGATGGTGCGGAAGGAGTGTTGCCTTCCGATCACGACGCTGATCGGACGAACTCTTGAGGAGAATTCAGGGAAAATAGTATATGTGAACCGATTTGCGTGCTCCTGGGCCTGGTGGAAGCTTTCAAAATCCACTTGTTGTCCCTCGTGACAGTCACTGGGGAGACGCAAGTCTCTGAAAGAAACGCCGGGAGACAGGGAAGGTATCCGAGGGGAAATGTTGCAAGTGTTGACGATGGTTGAAGTGTCGTTAGAAGGAGGCGAGGATAGTTTAAAAGACGTAGTTGAGGTATTCCCTAGCCCACTTGTGTCAAGTGCAGATGTATCAGCTTTGGCACAAAAGTTGGAAGAATCTTGCTCTCCGATGGGATTGCTGTCTTTCAAATCTTCGGAGAAACGAGAAATCCGAGGGAGGCTGGTTGCAGGTTTTATCTGACTGTTGGCAAGCGTCAATGTATTAGCCTGGGCACTGTCTTTTGGTGGCACTCGTTGGGCGTCGGGATCAACGTGGGAAAAAGTTTCGTCCCTGACAGCTTGGTTGTGACCGGGAGGTCGTGGAAATGATTCAATAAGCTGCTCAAAGCTCCCAGGGTGATTTAAAGTCCTCGGGTCCTGGGATGTTTCGCAATTGCCTTGGGTTCCAGGGCTCTCGTTGAGGCTATCAACAGGGCTGGGTTGCTCACCTGTTTCGCTCTCATAGACTGATGAGCTTGGGGGCTCAACGGATCCAGGACGTGTAATATTCTCCGATGCCTTAGGATATTCGGTAAGCTTAGGGGATCCAGGGCAGTGAGGCTCGTCCGTTGCAAGCTGTTGGAGTAACTCGGATAACAGAGATTCTGAATCGGTGCCTATGAGGGAAGTCCACTCTTCTTCGTAGTGAACCGGATCTCTGCCTTCCGAACCTTCGCGAAAGTCACTTGGACAACGGTTGGTGGATCGCAGACGAGCCTGATTGGCGCGTTCACTGCGACAGCGACAGGTTAGTCTAGGAAATCCACCCAGTAAACGGAGGAATATCTTGCCAGAGCCTAGTAGATGCAAGTCTGCGAGCAAAGCTAGTAGAGCTATGTTGGCCAGATTGATTTCGGCTGTGATTAGCCTCTATGTCTGCACCAGGAAGCCCAGCAAATGGGTCAGATGAGCCGAAAAGACGAAGCAGGAATTGATGCTCGTTTGGACAAAATCCGAGCTCCTCAATTAGGTTTTGGAGACTGGGAGATTCGTCAGCCATTCCGTCTTTGGAATTACATAGACAGTATCTCAATCGAGCCCGGAGATGAATTTAAGAAAGGGAGAAGCGTAGAGGGGATGAAAGCAATCGTGTCGTGTCGTCAATATTTTGGAACCTACCTCTTCGCTTATTTAATCGAAAGACGACCCACCATATATGAAATCTGAAAATCCATATAATCGCGTAGACACGCCGAGTCTTTCCATTGGCCCTTCAACATGGGATGCGTTGTATGGGCAAGCGGGCCTTGACAGTGGACTAAGGCAGAGCCAAATGTTTCAGAGCCCACAGCCTAATTCACACACAGCATCCCACTGGTATATTACAAGACTTGAAACGTGTGGATGTGTTGAAGAATAGGGTGATAAACACCGGCTGCCAAACGTCGTTGGCGATATTGTGACACGTGATATATACACCCTTTTTGACAAGCTGACCGCTTTGTAGTACTAGGACTTGGAATTCTTGACCGCCATTAGAAAGGCTTTAACACTAGGGATTGGGCCTGAAAACACATGCTCTTACGGAGGTCACTAGTAAAGGCTAGTGCAGCCGACTTCACATTTCACTGGATAAGTTGTTCCAAGTGCTATTCAATGATTTACAGCCTTCATGGGGATCAACCCTGGAGATCTTTTCGCTTACCGTAAAGGCTTATCGGCTTGTGAATCCAAATTGAAGGTTTGTTATTCTCTAAATGCTCTTACAACTGACCTAGTGACATTATAGAAGACACTGTTCAATAGAAACACCATGGCCGGTCCGCCTTTCATGAAACGTTCCTCGGGCAGTCTTACATTGCAAATGCATGATGAGTTCTACAAACGGGATCTCCCAGGATTGTAAGGCCAATGTAAAGTTTTGTTTGATGGGTCTACTTATAATTCTTATTATACACAATGTATGTAAGTCTTAGGGTTCATCACAAACCTATGGAGGGAACAGTTTCTGCATGGAGCTGAACCGATCCGCGCTTCCCCCGGAAAAGTCCGCCCCATCCCGGTGCCTCCTGCGATGTAGGGGATTTTTGTCGGGCTACGCCATGATTCTGATGTTACGTTGATCGATTATTATATCTGGAGTTCAATAAGGCCCTCCTAGACACATTAGGCATGAACTAGAATAAGATTTGCTGTTGAATTAAATTACCATGAAAACCACATACTAACCGTGCGACTTGCAAATTCCAGTGCACGCGCTTTCACCACACGGTCCATGACAACGCCAGTCAAGCGATGTGAACTCCTGAAATTGGTCGAGGAGAGTTGCCACTAAGGTGTTCTCCGCAGAAATTTGTATCTTGACATTTGTCTATAGATTTTAAACGATAGAGCACCTGAGATCAAGCAAATTTGTGTGAGAGAAGTCCCTAGTCGCCCGTTTAAGGCCGAATCATCACTAATGACAGCATCGGCAACACTAGGCACCGTGGTTTTTGCTCATGGAGTATCTTGCAGATATATGGTAGGATCGCGTTCTATTTTGCCGTGAAGGGAAAGCTTGCAGCGTGTCAAATAGAAGAGGATATAAACTCTCTTACCACAGGCCCATCATTATAGATCGCCTTTATTAATCACTTATCATGCGCATGAACGCTAGTTTCTCAGCGACGACTAGATGGTGATCCTACCAACTTTTCAGTTGTGGATAGCACACCTTTCCAAATGAGTGTGGACCTCTTTAACTCCACAATGTAGGTTGAGGATAGAAACATTAAATTCATGAACCCCGTGATGCACTAACTATTTCCCAATCTAGTATATAAGCGGTTAGTTGAATTTTTTGACCCATTTCCTGATCGTCATCTCGGCTATATAGTCTACTACTTACGGTCGGCGAGAGTATTCGACACACCCTTTCCAGCACATTTTGTTGCTTGGGAAAAGTCCCTTTTACTAGCACATTGAACTTGTGACAGCAAAGAGAATTCATGCCTCGACTCACTCTCGACATTCTCTTTGAAACTAAGTGTGATTTGAATTCTGTATTCTACTGCATCGTCCTATTCTTGTAGAGTTCTTTGATACCTATGGAAAAGGAGGCGTTTATCCCTACACATGAAGAAAGATTGCTGTAGTAGATTGGATCTAACCGAAGGTAAATTGGCATGAAATCTAATATAAGCAGTTCTTCCCTATACGTAGATACTTCTGGTGTATGTAGGAACAAGATCTTAAATTATAAAGCACCATTCCGTTAGAACTTTCCTTGTGTCTCGCTATCAATTCAGATTTTAGCGCCAAACTTACCAACGTAGCAAGAATATTACAGTTAAACCTACGGAGTAGATTAACATAGAAACTAAAAAAAACTTAGGATCATGCTAAACCCAAAATCTAGGGTTTCTAGCTATATCCACCTTTATGTTGGAGATTGGGTAGCATACATCTACCGATTTCTTTTTTGTCATCCGATATAGGATGACACGACACTAAGGGATATGAAGACCGCATAGCATAGGCAAAAATGAAATGCAAACAATGCATTGCTTTATAGAAAGGAGCAAACTGACTGATCAGACATCCCGTTGAGGTTATAATCAAATGTAAATCATTTTCTAGTTGCGAATTTTAGTTACTCCTGGTAACGTTGGATCTGCAGTTACCATCCATCATCCCCTTGATGGGCTGCTGCTTCACTATATCATATCAAAAATGGCTCTGTTAGTGATGGAGAAATTGACAATTTTCTGGGATATTTCGGCCAGCATCCTATGTTAGCTCCATTCAAAGACGTAGATAGCAGATCGGACAGCCTCTGCAAGATCACTATTACAACAAGGGGCCAAAGAAGGCCGCGTTACAAAATTCACAATCCAAAAGTTCTATGGTTATTAAAATGGCATTGGGCATTGATATCTTCCTCCTCAAAAAGAAAACGAAATGTCAGGAGTCAGATCCTGGAAAAGCTCTTCGAAGTTGACCCTAAGGAGCGATGGCGGGATATTGCTCTGTATAACAACATGTACAACATAAAAGATAGATAGATTCGGAAGCACCCCGTTGGTAACGATGGCCATCTATGGAGTTTGATAGGCGGGCTAATTCACTCAATTCTTTGGTTGGTAAGGGAGTAAGTAGCTTGGGGGATATTTTTCTTCCGGTCGCGCTCAGCTTCTAAGGGGGAGGAATTAGCAAGCAAGCTTACATTGTGTGCTTCTAGATAGACGAGTCCATTCTTGTCATCTAGAAAATCCAGTTTGTAGGTCAGGATACACCCGATGCATCGCATGATTCCGTATTATTTTTACGGCTGGAGGGGCCGGGACTACCGGAATACTCGGACTGGAAGACTGTCCCGGCTAGTGTTTTGACATGCACAATTTTGATAACAGAGTCAAGTCTTTGATTGCCTTAATGGGTTTCCCTTGGCTATAGCTCAGTTTCACTTCACCTAATGTCATCAGGCGTGGGATGATTTAATGCCTTGATGCCTTGGTGCCTACAAAGGAGATCTTTTGCCCCCACTGATGCACGGTGCTACACGCGCCAGTGGTGAAGATCGATGAAAATTTGGTCGAGGCATATTTGCGAAGATTTTCGTTTCCAACTACATCTTTCAGATATGGCATTTTGAATTTTGTAAAGATATACCAATAGCTGTAAAGCTGTACCAGACATTAAGCTCTTGAGCTGTGTATGCCTGAGGTACCTGGTTCGGTCACAGTTGAGACTGCTTACTAATATGCAATTGCCCCACCAAGTTGATAGAGGGGTTTCGGGCATGAAGCTCAAGTCTTCTAACCTTGGAAAGCCAAAAACATGGAGTGAATTCTAGGCTTTAGATTGATTCTTTTACTGAATTCAGAAAGATCAAGGTATCATGGAAAATCGCTGTAAAAAGGGTCGGAACACCTCTCGCTTGTGATATGGCTGTATAACGTCACCGGAGCATCCACGGATGGCAAAAAAGAAGCAGCGTAGTAAGTCAAAACTTGAAAGTATAGAGGATTTGAAAGTAGAAAAAAGGGGCCAAGATAGAAAAAAAAAAAAAAAATTAACAGAGGAATCTTGAGCAATCAAAAAAAAGAGAGAAGACAATACAAATGGGTTTACTTCAAGGGAAAAATTGGGCTAGTCAGCTCAAAACGCACAAAACCGGGAGGAGAAAAAAAGTCCCCACTTTCGCTTTTCTTTTTTTTCTCTCCCACTTTCCCTTCCCCTCCTCTTCTTCTTTTCCCCTCTATCTCTGTCCTCCAGGAGCAGTTGCACATAGAACTTTTTGATTAAGTGATCGAGAACTCTCGGTCCTAGTCATCTGTGTGCTCTTCTTCTTTTCTTTTTCTATCCTAGTTTACTAAGGATCAACCGCCAAAATGGTTAAGTGAGTTTGAATGTTCAGATTTCCTAGAAATCACAGCTAACAGTTGTGTGAACAGCTTCACTATCGAAGAGGTTAGTATTCGCCATTCAAGGGTTCCAAGGCTATGTCAAGCATTACCAGTGGAAGCTGGAGAGGTCTTTCCAACGATTGCCATCCCATGCTTCCATGTTGTCATCTCCCACTTGCACTTGGTGATGCCTGAAAACCTTTCTCCCTTCGAATAGATTACCATCAAATCATCAGGAACATCGATACTGACCTACATAAGATCCGGACCTTGATGGACCGTCGGGCTAACATCCGAAACATGTCCGTCATTGCTCACGGTAAGTTACTGTGCTGAGAATGACAGGACGTGGTAAAAATTACCGATGCTGACCTTGTTTCTGTGCACTAGTCGATCACGGAAAGTCCACCCTCTCCGACTCCCTGGTTCAGCGTGCCGGTATTATCTCCGCTGCCAAGGCTGGTGAGGCTCGTTTCATGGACACTCGTCCCGATGAGCAGGACCGTTGCATTACCATCAAGTCCACCGCTATCTCCCTCTACGCCAAGTTCCCCGACCCAGAGGATCTCAAGGAGATTCCCCAGGCCGTCGATGGTGACGAGTTCCTGATCAACTTGATCGATTCCCCCGGTCACGTCGATTTCTCGTCCGAGGTCACTGCTGCTCTCCG